TGGGTGTAAGAGAGGGTAATGGAGGGATGGATATGAACAGCATGTTACATGGATGTATAAAAATACCTACCACACTGAAGCCCAATATTTTGTAAAATTAATATGTACTAATAAAACGATTTATAAAACGGATGGAACTACTAAAAATCATAGTAAGCAAAATAAGCCAGGCTCAGAAAACCAAATGTTACGTTTTCCCTAATATGAGGCATGACACAAGAGTATGGTACATGTTTAAATTTAAAAATATTCATTATAGTAAAAGGTACCTTGCCACTGATTCCCCTTAAAATACTATCTCTTGCTTCAAACACACTTATCCCATTGTTCTTGCCACTTTCTGAAGCAGTTCAGGCAGCCTCTTTTGTGAATATCTTTAGTTGCACTGTTGTGGCTGCCTTGATGTCCTGAAGAGATTCAAAACATTTACTTTTCATGGTTATTTTGACTTTGGGGAAAAGCCACAAGGGGCACAGTGCCAGATCCAGTGAATAAGGTGGATAAGGACACACCATATTAATTTTTATGAGTCTTTCTGGTGGATAGCACTCAACAGCAGCATTCATTATAATTTTGTTTGTTTTTTTGAGACAGGGTCTTGCTATGCAGCCCAGGCTAGCCTTGAACTCATGGAGATACTCTTGCCTCAGCCTCCTAAATGCTGGGATTACAGGTGTGTGCCACCATGGCCAGCTCACTTTTTCTGATTCGTAACAGCAGCATTCACTGTATTTTTTATCATACTTCATGAAGATGCCCACAAAAAGGGACTTCTAGAATTGCTTCAGAAAGTGCCAAGAACAATGAGCTGGGTGTGTTTAAAGCAAGGGGGAGTATTTTGAGAGGGATTATGGTAATGTGTCTTACTACAGTAAATTTTTTTCTTTTTCTTTTTTTCTTTTTTTTTTTTGAGACAGGGTCTCCCATGTAGTTTCATACATATGTATGTATGAAAATGCCACAAAGAAACCCAAGGAAAACATTTTTTTTGGGGGGGGGGTTTGAGACAGGGTCTTACTATGTAGTTGAGACTGACCTGGAACTCACTATGTAGCCCAGGCTGGTCTCAAACTCAGTGATCCTCCTGCCTCAGCCTCCCAAGTGCTGGGATTACAGGCTTGAGCCACCATGCCCAGCTCCAAGGAAAACATTTTTTAAAAGCTTAGAGACATTAGAAAGGTAGTCCTAGGACTGATTTATCTTTGCTTTCATTGTTTTGCAAGTCCAGTAAGTTTTTAAATGACTGAAAAACAATTAAAGGTGCGCTGTGAGAATGTAAAAAAAAAGGAGTGAAAAAACCTGAATAGACACTTTTCCAAAGACATATAAATGGCCAATAAACATAAGAAAAGATGCTCAGTATCACTACTTATCAGGTGAAATACAAACCAAAACCACAATGAGATCTCTTCTCATCCTTATTAGATGGCTACAAGAAAAAAAAAAAAAAAAAAAAAAAAAAAAAAAAAAAAAAAGCCCAGAAACCAAGTATTAGCATGGATGTTCAGAAATCAGAACATTTATACCTTGTTGATTGGAAAACAAAACAGTACTTCTGCTTTGGAAAACAGCATAGTGCATTTTTTGGGTTTTTTTGTTGGTTTGTTTTTTGTTACTAGGGATCGATCTCAGGACCTAGCACGCACCTGCAAGGCAGGCACAGTGCCACTGAGCTAAATCCCCAGCCCTGTATTTTTTAAAAATTAAAAATAATTACCACATGATCCTGTAATTTGACTTTTAGTTATACACTCAAAAGAAACAAAAGTGGTCTCAAAGAGATACTTGCATACACACATTCATGACAGGATTACTTAACAATAGATAAAAGGTCTCCATCAATAGAGAACAGCCAAAACAGAATGTGTTGTATACACAGGAATATTATTAGATCTTCAAAGGGAAAAAAAAATCCAACATATGCTACAACATGGATAAAGCTTGAGGACAGGATGCTAAGTGAAATGAGTCAGTCACCAAAAGACAAACACTTCATGATTCCACTTATATTATGCACCTAGGATAGCCAAGTTCATAGCGGAAGAGAATAATCGCTGCTAGAGGCTAAGTGGTGAGAGCAATGAAATTGCTGTTTAATGAATAGAGTTTCAGCTTTGAAAAAGATAGTTCTGGAGATGGATGCTGCTGATGATCACACAACAATGCTAATGTACTTAATACCACTGAATTGTACCGTAAAATGGTTAAGATGGTATATTGTTACATGAATTTCATCACGATTTTTTAAAAGAAAGTATTTCCTCACAAGATACTAACTACAAGGAGAAAAAAAATCTTGATAGGAGAAATCTGGCAGATATAAATTTTTTTGTTTTATCAATAAATTTTATTTATTTTTATGAGTAAGGACTTTGTGACCAGAGGGCATTTTCATTTTAAAAACTGTCATATATTGAAATAAAAGTTATTATGTTTCCCTGAGGACTGTAACTCATTATTCTACTAAGAAATATCCTTCTATTTTACCCTTTTCCACCATGGAGTTTTTTCCCCCTAATTTATTAAAGTGGCTGTCTTTATTCCAGTGTATATCTTTTGGCCTCTTTGACAAAGATCAGTGTAATGCGCTTGAGGTTGTTTCTCCATCCTCTGGTTCCAAAGATCCTCACCTTTGTTTTTGTACCATGCTGTTTTTGTTACTGTAGCTTTATTTGTTTGTTTGTTTGTTTTTGGTACCAGGGACCTAACTTGGGTTCTTGCCCTTGAGAGGCAGGCGGTAGAACCATTGAGCTAAATCCCCAGCCCCTTGTTACCGTAGCTTTACAGTATAACTTCAAATCTGGGATTGTGATGCCTCCTTGTTTACTTTTGTTACCCAGGTTTACTTTTGCTTTTCTAGGTCTCTCTCTTTTTTTCCATTAAGTTTATTGTACATTTTAGGTATATAATACAGTTATATTCACCATTGGGAACTTGTACCTTTACATATTGTATCTTGGTTCTTTTGTTTTCCCCATTCCCCTGTTCTCCCTTCAATCCCTATACCCCTCTCTATTTAGAGACTTTGTTTCAATTTTCTCCTTTTCTCATATTTTTTCCCTTCCCTTCTTTCCTTTCCCCTATCCCTCCCACTTCCCCTATCCCTTTAGACCTTTTCCTATTTCACATGGTCAATTATACACTTTGATCCTTATTTACACTTTTAGTTTCTCACACCAGAGAAAATATTTGGTATTTACAAATGTGTGTCCTATTTATGTCACTTAAGAGCAGGGCCTCAGTGTGCATTCAGATATAAATGTGTCTAGTTTCTCATTCTTTATGGCTGAGTAGTACTCCATTTTTATTTTTTAAAAACCCACATCTTCTTTATCCAGTCTCCAGCTGATGGGCACTTTGGCAGTTTCCAAGCTTTAGCTATTAAAACTGTGCTGCTATAAACATGGGTGAGCATATATAGCAATGGTATGATTCTTTCAATTCGTTTAGGAAGATACCCAGCAGAGGAATAGCTGAGTCAAATGGGGCCTCTAATCCTAGTTTTTTGAGGTATCTCCATATTGATTTCCATAGTGGTTGCACCATTCCATACTCCCACTAACAATGGAGAAGGGTTCCTTTTTCCCCACAGCCCTGCCAACATAGTTATTGGTTGATTTCTTGATAGCAGACATTCTTTCTGGGATAAGGTAAAATCTCAGTGTTGTTTTCATCTGCATCTCTCAAATGACCAGTGATGTTGAACATATTTTCATGTTATTTGCTGCTTTTACATCTTGGCAGATATCAATTTAACCAAAAGATTAAAGTTAACATCATTATTAATAGACCTAAACATATTATATATCTTTCCCATATCAGGCACATGAAATAGAAAGAATGTATATGCAATATTTCTGCCAAAAATATATAACAACAAAAACCGGTAACAACAACAAAAACATAACTAGAATGTATTCAAGAGGACACATGAGTCAAACCCAGACTGAGACATTCTACACAATAACTTTCTCCCCCTTGAAACAGGGTCTCCCTATATAGTTCAGGCTGGCCTTAAACTCACTATGTAGCCCATGTTGGCTTTGAATATGGAGCAGTCCTCTGCCTCAGCCTCCCAAGTGCTGGGATCACAGGCATGTGCCACCACACCTGCCCATGCCTGTAATCTTGAATCATATTAACATCATGAAAGAAAAAAAAAAGCTAGGAAATCATTCTAATAAAGACTAAAGAGACATGTTGTATGTATCATGATTCTGGACTAGGTTTTCTATCTGAGAGGAGAAATATGCTCAACAACATCATTGAAACAAATGACAAAATTAGAATATGGATTGTTGATTAAAGTATCACATTAGAGCCAAGGATTTAGCTCAGTGGTTCTGCTGCCTGCCTCAAAAGAACAAGGACCCAAGTTCGATCCCCAGTACCACCAAAAAAAAAAAAAAAAATCCAAAGAAACAAATAAAACCTCCCAAAAAGTATCACATCAATGTTAAATTTAATGAAGTTAACAAATATACCAAATATTTTTATCTTTAGTCTTAGGAAATACATATTAAAGTATTAAAACATTAAAGTAATATGAGATATACAACCTAACTGTTAATGATTCAAGAAAAAATACATATAAAGCCCTATTTATAGCTAAAAAGAGAGCAAAAAAGTAAGAAAAAATAATAAAACTAATGTGGCAAATATTAAGGACATTGGTGAATCCGGGAAAAGGACACATGAGAGTTCTTTGCATGTTTCTTACAACTTTTCAACAAGTGTGAAATTATTTCAACAAGTTAAAAAAATTTTAGCTCAGTGGTTCCACTGCCTGCTTCCCAATCCCCATTGCCAAAAAAAACAAAAAACAAAACCATCTACGTAGCTTGGCCTAGTGGTCTAAGGTGCTGGATTAATAAAGTTAAAAAATCTAAATGCTATAGACGTATACATTTATATAGATTATAATTTAAAATAGTAATAAATTAATTTAAAAGGAGACATGGGAAAAGTGTATCTTTACAAGAAAGGAAAGTACATCTTACCCCAGTAGTTGCCACAGGAAGTGGATTAGCTGTGTAAAGGCTTCTTTTTCCATCATACACTGGTCTACGGTCTCCAAAGATAGTTACTTTAAAATGCTGAACCATTGAGTCAACTACCTCCCTAAAGAAGGAAAAAACAATTACATAATCTTCTCAAGATGAAATAAAAAAAATTAATTAAAGCAATTTCTGGTACAGTTTAAAGCCACCAAATTTTAAAGGGCATTCTTCATTCATATGTAATAAAGATTTTGCTTTCAGAACCATGACTTCAGATTGCAAAAAGACTGACTGCTACTGGCAAAGAATGACATATATTTCCCAAAAACAGAGAATAATGAATCCAGTAAATTAATCCTTCTGGGACACAACTGACCTGCAAAATATTCTCTCAGAAAATGACTCAAAATCTCTTTCATCAGCTCAAAGAATTCCCTGACATATTCACCTCTTTCTCAAAGGATAAGATGCTTTTTTTTTTTGAGACAAGGTCTCACTATGTATTTGAGACTGACCTGGAACTCACTGTGTAGTAGTCCAGGCTGGTCTCAAACTCACAATGATCCTCCTGCCTCAGCCTCCCAAGTGCTGGGATTACAGGCGTGCGCACAACACCCGACTTATAAAATGCTCTTTCTAAGCAAGAAGCGATTTAAATATGTTAAGGGACAATTTTCATCTTCAGAATTAAGGATTATTTTAATGTTACATTATTGCCTTTTCTCTTTTACTTTCCTTTTTAGTTTTATTTTAGGATTCCCTATTTTTAATGTTCATACAGAGTTTTTTTTTTTTTTTTTTTTTTGGTACCGGGGATTGAACTCGGGTCCTTGCACTTGCAAGGCAGGCCACCGAACCACTGAGCTAAATCCCCGGCCCCATACAGAGATTTCTTTAACTGAAATACCTAGTAGTTTCTCTGGTGTGAAAAACTATAATAGTACACAGGATCCTAATGAGATAAATGATAATGTGAAACAGGAAGTAAAGGGCTAAAGGTGTAGGGAAACTGGGAAGGGTGGGGGAAAGGTAATAAGGGAGAGGAAAAAAATATGAGAAACTGAAAAAATGGAAATAAAGTGTTTGTAAATGGGGAGGCGAGGAGGGGGTGAAGGGAGGGCAGGGACAAGGGGAAAAGTGAGAATCAAGATCTATTACGTAAAGGTACAGGATCCCAATAATGAATGTAACTGTATTGTATACCTAGATTGTACCAATAAACTCAATAAAAAGAAAAAAGAAAAAAAGAAAAGATGCTCTTTCTATTGTATTGAAATAATTCCTGGTACTAATAGAGAATAGTATTCTGTATTACAACTCAGTCTATTGCATTATAATTATTATTTACTTTATTACTACTGTGAGTTTTTTGGGAAAAACAAACACACCTGCATTCCTTGTACTTTCCTATCCTTAAAACCAGATCTAGTCTGTAAAGATGCTATGAAACTTCCATTTTTAACCAGCAAACTTTTTGTTCTAATATACTCAAGTAGAATGATATTCAAGACTCATACATTTAAAAAAATACGATCAGGGCCAGGGATTTAGCTCAGTGGTTCTGCTGCCTGCCTCACAAGCTCCAGGACCTGAGTTCAATCCTCAGTACCAAAAAAAAAAAAATTGATCCTAGAGAATGATACTAAATATCTACAAATCAACATTTCTGTACATATTCATAAAGCAGTGAAAAGGTATCTGGAAGGCCCTATGTGCTACACAAATACAGTCCTACCAGGGATGGTAGCACACGCCTGTAATCCTGGAACTCTGGGGATTAAATCAGGACTTTGAGGCCATCATGCGCACCACAGTGAGTTCAAGGGCAGCCTGAGCTACACAGTGAGACACTGTCTCAAACAAAACAAAACAAGAGAAATACGTCTGGAAAAGAACATGACAGGGTTACAAGTGACTTTTGTTTGTACAATCTAAATATATTACAATGAAAGTAGTGTCACATAGTATTGGTATGATTTAAGATGAATCAAATCCAACCCAGGCAAGTGGGAAGGGAAGAGAAGAAAAAAATTAGCATTTCCTAGAATAAGAACAACAACAAAAAAATCAACCTGACTTTATACACAGAGCAATTTTGTGGATGACACAAATTTTTCCCTCTCTTTTCATTGTCTTACTAAACCTATGTAAATATCAAGTCATACTGGAATAATTCTCATAATAAAGATTTGCTTTACCTGTCAGTTTTTGGGTTCAAAAAAAAGTTCAATTATTTTCTGCCACTTTTTATTTTATGGCCATTAAACCACGACCAGTTTCTCAGGTGTAATTACGGAGATCTAATTTGTCAAGCTGGTTTGACTATTTTGTCATTTTTAAAGTTAACACTAAATTTAAACTTATTAATTCCTGGTAACCCAATCAAACCACTATAAAAATCAAAATGTTGGAGGGGACAGAACTGGTAGGCCAAAATCATCTTAGTGTGTTTTTTTAAAAAAACCCTTGTTTTGATGGCCTAGTACACAGTATGTCCTCAATAAATGCTCTAGAGGGCCAGGGACGTAGTGCAGTGGCACTGAGCCTGCTGCAGCAAGTGCGAGGTCCTGAGTTTGATATCCAGTACGGGGAAGGGCTGGAATTCCAGCATGGATAATCTACTTTAATGACCTGCCAGAACCTCTAAAGGACTATATCTAAAGTTGAATTCAATATATTTTCCCTGAGTTGAATCTGGTTTTCTTTTGATTATTACTCCTGTCTAATTAATGGTGCTTCCATCTTTCTGCTTACCCCGATTTAAAATCTGGCTTATCTCTTTACCTAATTAGTTGCTGACTTCACCTCTCTGCATTATTTCTTATTTCAGTCCTTTCCTTTCCCAATTAACCCAATCCTAAATAAACACTTCAGGTCCTAAAACTTAAATTATTTTTTGAAAGTTTCTTGGTATTTATGTCCCTAGTGTTTTCTTCTCATCCTAATTTATATACCACTGCCAATTATGTCACTCACCACCACTTTCATTGACTTAGGTAAAAAATTCTGAGTTGATCATACTTCTTAGTTTGTGGCACATTATCAACTGTGTAAGACCTTTCTTATAAGTAACTGATTTCCTTCTTTCCGTCTCCATTTCCTATTCACATCCTTCTTTCCAACCTCCAATGTGCTCCATGAACATCTTCCTGCTTGTGTGTATTCCTACCTTTACCTTCTGCACTGGAGTTTAAAAATCTATTCATGTTGCTGTGGTATGCTTAGTTCACTATTTCTTTTAAAAAATATTTTTCATTATTTTCAAAAATTGTGAAAACCAGTTGTAAACAATTTAAATGTCATTTAGTCCTCTGTTTCTGACTAAAGTAAAGCATTCCACATTATCTATCCACTCCCCCAGCAAGAAGCTTTGTATCTTTCACTCCCAGTCACCCAAAACAGTTCTGCAATGCATTATCTCTTCACACCTCCCCTTATCAACCTGTGTGGGAACTCATCTCTGGTTATATACCCAGAAAACAGAATGAGAGTCAAACTGAACTTTATCAACTTTGATAAAATAATGAACTGCTAAACTGCTCTCCTGAATGGTTACACTATGTTCTTATTTCCCTGGACCCCAGGCAAGATCTGGCATATCAAGCTTTGCTTTCTACTATTTGCTAGCCTGATGGGTATAAACTAAAAGCTTGTTTAGATTTTTCTTATTACTAATGAATGTGAGCATCCCTGCATGTGCTTGTGTTTTCTCTTTTGCACAATTTCCTATTTCCTTAGCATTTTACTAACTGGGGATCCAGACTTAATGAATTGAAAGTGTTCCATTTATACTCTAGAATTAACTCAGAGACAGGTTTAGTTATTGTAAGTATATGTTCCCACAATGTTAGCTGTATACAATGTGCATTTATTTGTAGAACTGAAACTAATAATTTGGTATCATCAAATAAATCTTTTTTAATCTTATCCTTTCATACTTTTGAGGTGCTGTTTAAGAAATATTTCCTAACATTAAGTATTCCTTATCAGAAATGCTTAGAACCAGAAATTCTCGAACCTCTGCATATACATTATGAGGTATTTTGGGGGATGGAACCTAAGTTTAAATATAAGATTAATTTATATTTCATATACATATAGCCTGAAGGTAACTTTATATAATATTAGTAATTTTGTGCATAAAACTAAGTTTTATGGCATAGAATTTTCCACTGCGGTATCATGTTGGTGTAAAAAAGTTTTGGATTCTGGAATATTTTGAACTTTGGATTTTCAAATTATGGATGCTCACCCGGTAGTAAATCACACAATTAACTTATGCTTCGTTGACTTTAGCTATATTATTTGGGGCATTAATTCATTTGAGGTTTTTATTTGTAAACAGTAAACACTCAACTTTATTTTTCTCTACATAGTTAGCCAATCTTTCCACATCATTTACTACAGTCAATATTTAACCAATTAATTTGTAATAGCAATTTTATTAAAATTTCATATATAAACCAAGCTGGCTATATGTTCTCCATATTGTTCCAGTGGTCTATTTTCTTGTTCTTGTGACAGGACCATGTTTTCATTATTAATAGGATGTTTCATTATATTGTAATATGGACCAAGGCAAGTTCTCTCACTTTTCCTAAGCTAACTTGAACATTCATGAAAACATATTTTCCACCCTAGAAAACTGTCAATATCAACAAGGAAAGAAAACCTATCTAGTACACCAACATAAAGCAAATAAGTATCTATTAGTTAAGAAATCCCCAAATAACACCGAGGTATGACTAATATGCTAAAAACATACAAAAATGTGTTTTTTGTTGTTTTTTTTGGTACCGGAGATCGAACTAGAGTCCTTGCGCTTGCGAGGCAGGGAGCAGAACCACTGAGCTAAATCCCCGACCCCATAAATGTGTTAAAAGCCATGATGAACTACATCAATAAACTAAATGAAGAAACATGATAAGAACAACTGTTATATCTAAACACTTATGTTAGAAAACTTCAATTGCAATCATTAACACCCGAGAGGCTCCCAAGTTATCCAATTCTCCTGCAGAAAGAGGCTTTAGACAGATACAAGTCCAAAATGGGCTAATAGTGTCATGGGGCTTCCTCCAAATTAAAGAACTCGGGTTGCATATATTTAATTAAGGTAGC